TTCATTCGGACTGTGTCAGTAATTTAGCGTGCGTTGCGGAAAAGTGTAGAAATCCTTGCGAAGGCTCTTGCGGATTATACGCAAAATGTTTCGTGAACAATCACATCCCAGTGTGCCTGTGCCCCGATGGGTTTATGGGTGATCCATTCAGGGAATGTAGACCGAAACCACTTGAAGGTACAATTAAGCTTACATTAAAAGATAGTTATAATTACCGGATACGAAAAATAACCTGTGTCTAATCACATTTCACACTATATTTATATATTTATATATAATTTCAGATACCACACAACCTACAGTAAGAAATCCATGTCATCCAAGCCCATGCGGTTCGAACACTGTTTGTAGAGATGGTATTTGTTCCTGCGAAGAAGGTTATCACGGCGATCCCTACTTTGGTTGTAGACCTGAATGTGTTTATAATTCAGACTGTCCACAAGATAAAGGATGTCAACGCAACAAATGTGTGAACCCCTGTACGGACACTTGCGCACCAAATGCAATCTGCGATGTTATAAATCACATACCCATGTGTTCTTGTCCAAAAGGAATGAGTGGAAACGCTTTCGTAGAATGTAGACCAACACTTGGTAATTATATTTGCCTTAAATGTAAAAGTCTATTCTTATGTAGTATAGAAATGGAGATTGAATACTTTATTTATTTCATTGAGCTTAGTACAGCATCATAATAATCAAGTTTTATGTTTTCAGTCGTTTCCCTAAACCCCTGCAACCCATCACCATGTGGACCTAATAGCCAGTGTCATCAATCGAATGGGCAAGCAGTTTGCTCTTGTATACCAGGATTTAAGGGCAGTCCACCGACGTGCAGACCAGAATGCGTCGTGAGTCTCGAGTGTCCCCTGAAAGAAGCCTGCAATAATCAGAAATGTGTCAATCCTTGTATCGGTGCGTGCGGAGCTGCAGCAGTGTGTGATGTCATCAACCACAATCCAATTTGCACATGCCCGCCATCTTTTACTGGAGATCCATTCATAAGATGTGCAATTATCGGTAAGTATTTTACATCCTAGTTCTCAATCAAAATTTATTTTCTGTGAGAAATATTTTTATTAAACACATTCACTATCACAATTGATGTCATCTTTTTTCAGTTGATACACCCGTCAGAGTGGATCCATGTGAGCCTTCGCCATGTGGGCCAAATTCCGTATGTAGAATAAGCGGTAACAGTCCAATATGTGCATGTATGCCAAACTACAAGGGATCACCTCCTAACTGCAGACCAGAATGCGTAAGCAACGGTGAATGTGATAACCATTTGGCTTGTGTAAATCAAAAATGTAGTGACCCGTGTGTTGGAAGCTGTGGCCCGAACGCCGAATGCAGAGTTGTCAGTCATTCCCCGATGTGCATTTGTCAACAAGGCTATACCGGTGATCCATTCTCATACTGTAACCTAATACCTGCAATCGAAACCGAAGTTCTAAATCCTTGCAGTCCTAGTCCTTGTGGATCAAATGCTATTTGTAAAGAAAAGAATGGTGTCGGAGCTTGTACATGTGCAGAAGGCTATTCGGGTAATCCCTATGAATCTTGTCGCCCTGAATGCATAGTCAATACCGATTGCCCGTTAAATAAGGCATGCACAAGAATGAAATGTGTCGACCCTTGCCCAGGAACGTGCGGCTCTAATGCTGTTTGTCAAGTGAATAACCATCTACCCAATTGTATATGCCAACCTGGATATACAGGAAATCCATTTAGTCACTGTGTTATAATGGAAGAGCGTAAGTATATTTTAATTACTTATATGAAAAAATACTGCTAGTAAAATATACTAGGAATAAAATAAAATATAATTTTCATATGTATTACAGCTGATAATGTACAACAGAACCCGTGTAATCCTTCACCATGTGGAGCAAATAGCCAGTGCAAGGAAATTAATGGTCAAGCTGTATGCTCATGCTTATTGAATTTCGTTGGATCTCCTCCAAACTGTCGACCGGAATGCGTCGTGAGCTCAGAATGTCCCGCCAATTTAGCTTGTCTTAATCAAAAATGTGTGGATCCTTGCATCGGTAGTTGCGGAGAAAGTACTAATTGTAATGTTATCAACCATAGCCCAATATGCGTATGCAAGCAAGGTCTGACAGGAAATCCATTTACAAGATGCTATCCCATAAAAAGTAAGTACAATTAAAACGTGAAATAAATTTAAATGATTAATTTTGTAAATAAATAAGTTTGTAAATGCTATATTATATTGTTTCAGTATCCAAACCACCAATGAGTTTACCGAAACCAGATCCTTGCTTACCTTCTCCCTGCGGCGTGTATGCTGAATGCCGCAATATCGGTGATGCGCCATCCTGCGCGTGCAAGTCTGGTTACGTCGGTAACCCCCCTAATTGCAGACCGGAATGTACACTGAATTCTGAATGTCCCAGCAATCAGGCTTGTATCAACGAAAAGTGTAGCGACCCTTGTCCCGGAGCTTGCGGTTTGAATGCTCAATGCAATGTCTTCAACCATATCGCCCAATGTAGCTGTTTGGAACGATACACTGGAGATCCTTTCGTACAATGTCATTTTGAACCGGAAAGAGATGGTAATTTTTTTAAACAGTAATGTTTTATATTTTTTATATCTTAAAAATATTTTCTATATTCATTTAAGAGAAAATAATATAATTTAAATATCTTCTTTTCTTTTTGTAATTGGTTGATGATAGAATATTTAAATACAACAAATTCATCATTATCAACTTGCTCTTGTCCCTACGTAAGTTCAGCAAAGTATGTGCTGATCTTCCTCAGACTTCTAGCAGCCATCATATCAGAATAAATTCCCTTTTTAGGCATATCCTCATTCACACAATACATCAATGCTTTCTTAGGTTTTCCTCTACCATTGTAGCGATCCAAATTTTGTCTTAATTCTTTCTGGTTTATGTCCCCATCAGGACAGGTGGTCGCTTAACATGTCAATACCACGCTAACCTTTTGCTTCTTAATTTCTATTTATTCTACCAACATGGCCATTAAAATCAAATCCGAAATACAATTCCCGTAAATGAGGACACAATTTAAAACAACAAATTGAGATATGAAAATTGGTGCTCTCTAGAGAACTTTCTAACTATAGAAAGATATTATTCCATTTTTAAACTAATATAACTTATGAAACAATTTTCAGAAGTATACAGCGAAATAGACCCCTGCAACCCATCACCCTGTGGTCCAAATGCTGAATGTAACGATGGCGAATGCACATGTTTACCTGAATACCACGGCGATCCGTACTTCGGTTGTCGACCGGAATGTCTCATAAGCAATGACTGCCAACCCAATAAAGCATGTGCCAGAAGTAAATGCATAGACCCATGTACAAATTCTTGCGGAAAAGGAGCTATCTGTAACGTTTTCAATCACGTACCGATGTGTACTTGCCCTGAAGGTTACACGGGTAACGCATTTCTTGAGTGCCGGCCCTTCGTCTCTGAAATAATAAATCCTTGCAATCCTAGCCCCTGTGGACCAAACAGTCAATGTAGAGACGTTACCGGCCAAGCAATTTGTACTTGTTTACCCGGATACCAAGGGGCACCACCGACTTGTAGACCGGAATGTATATCTAGTTCAGAATGTCCGCTTGATAAAGCTTGTTCAAACCAACGTTGTATTGATCCATGTAAAGGAAATTGCGGAGCTGGTGCCGTTTGTCAGGTTATCAATCACAATCCTATATGTTCGTGTCCATCGGGGCTTACAGGCGATCCATTCACAAAATGCGTGTTACAAGGTTTGTATTTTTACGTGTATTTATTTAATCTCTTTCTGGTGTAGTTAATTATTCCTAAAAATTCATGATAATCTTAATTTTTAGCCACCGAATTACCACCGTACGTGAATCCTTGCGAACCATCACCTTGTGGACCAAATTCGATATGTAAAGAGATTAGTGGTTCGCCGTCATGCGCCTGTCTCGATGAATACACGGGCAGTCCTCCGAATTGTCGTCCAGAATGCATAGCAAACTCTGAATGCCCTAATCAGCTCGCGTGCATTAATCAAAAATGCAAAGACCCTTGCCCTGGATCATGCGGTACCGCGGCGGAGTGCAGAGTTGTAAGCCATTCACCACAATGTTTCTGCCAGCCAGGTTATACGGGAGATGCATTTATAGAATGTAAAATCCTCGATGTTCAACTTAGACCATGCTCACCATCACCATGTGGGCCTAACGCGGTTTGCAAAGAATTAAGGGATGCAGGATCTTGTGTGTGTTTACCGGATCACATAGGTAATCCTTATGAAGGTTGCCGTCCTGAGTGCGTCGTTAACTCTGATTGTGCGATTAATTTGGCTTGTACACAGAACAAATGTACAAACCCTTGCATTAATGTGTGCGGAAGAAATGCAATATGCAATGTTCAAAATCATGCACCAAAATGTGAATGTTTACCGGGAATGAATGGAAATCCATACCAAGAATGCCACGAAGTGAAAGGTAACATACTTCTTACAAAATTTAAGTTGTAATTATGTTTAAAAGTGATAACTCTCAATTTTAGGGCTTAATTTTCAACTATGCAAACTTTATTTCAGAGATGATTCCGATGCAAAAGGACCCATGCACTCCATCTCCTTGTGGTCCAAACAGTATATGTAAGGTTTCAAACAACCAAGCTTTGTGCACCTGCCAACCCGAGTATTTAGGTTCACCGCCGTCGTGCAGGCCCGAGTGTCTCGTCAGCTCAGAGTGTTCGTTGCAAACAGCGTGTATAAATCAGAAATGCAAGAACCCATGCGATGGAGTTTGCGGACAAAACACGGAGTGCAGGGTGATTAATCATAGCCCCGTTTGCTCATGCCGATCGCAGTTCACAGGCGACCCATTCAGCCATTGCCACAAAGGTAAGTTAAAATCATTCTCTTACTTCATAAAAATCAAACATTACTTAAGTCGTTAAAATGTAGTTTTTAATTTATGTAAAACGTATTTTTTTTTTCTTACATATTTCATTCTTATCATTTTTCAGTTATTGATGTAATAACTGTGTCGACCAATCCTTGTCTACCGTCGCCTTGTGGACCATATTCGGAATGTCGCGATGCCAACGGGTCGCCTTCTTGTTCTTGTCT